CTCTCTCTCTCTCTCTCTCTCTCTCTCTCTCTCTCTCTCTCTCTCTCTCTCTCTCTCCAGTGAGCCAGGCAGCCTGCTCCAGCAAGAGGGAAAAGAAGTTAAAAGGCTGGAGTGTCGAGGCTGCTGCAGGATGAAGGGAAGGAAAAGCGGGAAGGACTCTTACAGCTCCTTAACTATAAGGACTGCACAGGAGGACGGGCCCAGAGAGGGCCCAGGTCTACATTGAGAGTCTTGTCCAGCCCTGGTGGTGTCCTAGGCCCTTTGCATAAGGAAAAGCGGGAAGGACTCTTACAGCTCCTTAACTATAAGGACTGCACAGGAGGACGGGCCCAGAAAGGGCCCAGGTCTACATTGAGAGTCTTGTCCAGCCCTGGTGGTGTCCTAGGCCCTTTGCATACGTCCTCACTTAGCAGCAGATTGGAGCTACTTTCATTTTTTTTTTTTTTTAAGATGACTGGTAAGGGGATCTTAAGCCTTGACTTGGTGTTGTCAGCACCACGCTCACCCAAGTGAGCCAACCAGCCATCTCTATATAGGGATCTGAACCTGTGGCCTTGGTGCTATCAGCACCACCCTCTCCCAAGTGAGCCACGGGCCAGCCCGCTACTTTCATTTTTAATAGCTCACCTTAACACAGTTTGGTATTGCTATGGGTCACATGTGTCCCCGAAAGCTTATATATTAGAAACTTGACCCCCCCTGTTACAAAGTTAAAAGGGTGGAGCATCCAATTATGGTATTTGAAAGGTGGGGCCTTTGAGAGGTGATGGGATCATAAGGACTGTGCCCTTGTGAATGGATTAATCCATTCACGGCAGTAACAAGGTATCATGGGTGTGATTCCGATGGCTACTGTAAGGACTGTGCCCTCTTGAATGAACTGATCCATTCATGGAGTAATGGGTTGATGGCTTAATGGGTGGTCATGTATGTGGTTCTGATGGCTTTAAAAGGAGAGCAAGTGAGAAGGTTAGCTCTCTCTTGCTCAGCCCATTCTTACCATATGACACCCTGGTCATCATGGGACCCTATAGAAAGTCACCCAACTGGGAAAAGGCCCTCAGCAGATATGTTCCCTGGACTTAGGACTTCCCAGCCTCCAAAACTGAGAGAAATAGATTTCATTCCTTTCCAAATTACCCAATTTTAGGTATTCAGTTTTAGGTTTCTGCAACAGAAACGGACTAATACAGGCATTATATCGTCAGATCAAACAGTTATGGGTCTTGCTCAGCCTAAGTAGTGAGTAGATTCCATAGACGAGGAATTTACAGCTACAAGAGAATGGTGATTGAGGGGGAGGCAACGCCTCATGATTGGCTCTGCGAAGTGGTTCAGCAGTAGGACCTCTGGTTAACTGTGTACATTGGCCCAGACCATAGATCCCTGCAGACATTCATCTCTATCCAAACAGAAATCAGGCCAGGATTACATGTAAGAATTTGTCACAATATGAAGTAAGACTTTAGAATGAGCACTGGCTCCTCAGTCCGCCCGGCTCTCTGCTGTGAATACATTTTTGATGTGTGATGGTGTGTCCCTGTGTTTGTGCCTGTTTTCATTGGGAGTGATAGGATGAGGCACAGCAGCTACAAAAATACATCAAACCAAAGGGTTTCTTCAAAGCTTTCACAGACCTGTTTTCCATGCATGTTCCACCTATTCAAATGAGATGCTCCGTCATCTGCCAGCTGTGTTAACAAACATCGTGACCTTGGCTTGAGCCTCTCTTGATGGGTTGGCTATTTTACTTTACTAAATGATCTTTTGAGGTCAAAATTGTTATCCCTGATGAATTCACCAATAGGTGCCAACAGCCAAATTTAAAAGCCAGTCCAGAGGAGTTGTCTGATGACAGAACTAGTTTTTTTGCTGGTGGTCAGAAAACGCATGCAGCAGGGAGAAAGGAAAAAGGAAAAAATGCAAGCACTTCAGCTCCATGAGTGCAAGAAAAACATAAGCTCCACCAGCCAATATTTACACTAATGCTTCAGCATCAGACTCTGGATGGCTTCACATTCTGTGTCACTTAAAGAGCATTGAAGCTAAGACAGAGCACTTTGCTTTTGGCCACCAGTGGTATTAGAAATTTAAATACTTTTATTTCTTTAGAAAAGGTGAAATGAGAGTTGTTTTCCCTCTGGTCTACTCTAGGACTAGTTAATGCCTCTGTTTCAAGAGAGGAGGGCCATGTTTCAAGAGAGGAGGAATTTCTGAAAAAATGATTGTTAATGCATGTCTCTACTCACTTCCTGGGTATTGGACTTCAGTGGGGTCAGAGGGACCAAGAGCCAAGTCTGGCCTCTATTCCAGAGAGGGTGCAGTGAGGCGGATAGATGACCTGCAAGAAGCTGGGACCAGAGTCAGCAGATGGACTGTTCAGGCCTGGGCATCCCCCATACATGAACTCAGAGCAGGCCTTGGCATGGAGGCACAGGTGCAGTGGGAAGATGGTCCCTCACATGCTGGGCATTTTACAGGATGCCTGGCCCAATCTTGTGGAGGGTGGGACCTGTCAGACCATAGTGATGGCATTTATCACAAACCAACCTGTGTGCCCAGTAGGATCATTGCCAAGCGAGACCATCCTTTTCTATCCCAAATACCCCCCCCCAGTCTCCCCAGTGTTCCAGATACCCCCAAAAGACAGATATTCTACAGATCTGGGTAGTATTGTGTGATTGTTAGCATTATGTGACAAAGAGTCTTGTTGCCCCTGTGTTCCTAGAATATT